CCTCACAGACGGTATATATCCAAAATGGTCAACATTTATCCAATCTATCACACTCCCTCAGAGTCCTAAACAAGAGCTATTTGCCCGAGTTCAAGAAGCAGCACGAAAAGATGTAGAGCGAGCTTTTGGAGTATTGCAAGCCCGATTTGCGATTGTCAGAAATCCGGTACGTACATTGAACAAAGAAAAGATAGGGAAGATTATGAGAACATGTATCATACTACACAATATGATAGTTGAAAATGAACGAGATGGTTACATGCAGTACGATATTTTGGAATTTGAAGAAGGAGACGTCACCAGAAGTTCAGAGGTCGAGACCGAGAGACCTACAAATCTGCATAATATATTTCCTAATCGGAATGATCTTCGTGATAACCGTATCCATCAACAATTGAAGAATGATTTAATCGAAAATATTTGGAACAAGTTCGGTGATGAAAATTAATTAGTGTATCTTTTTATGTTTATTTATAATCCTTGTATCTTTTTTAATTAATGCAATTAATAAAATTTAAGTTTCCAAATTTTTTTTTTTTTTTTAAGGATTCCATCTTCGGGCTCACCATTGGAGAGACAATTTTACTTCGGATCCTTAACTATTCAAAAAAAAAAAATATTTAATAATGGCTAAGGATTCACCATTGAACCTCACCATTGTATATGCTCTAAGAACCTTAGTGCAGTGACAATTGCTTTGTTTATGCATTGGCGACATGTCTGATTAGAACATTCATATTTGACTCTTTGGATTTGAAATTTATCTACATATATATCATACTAGGTGATTTTCCCGTGCTCATGCACGGACATGTATATTTATAAAATAAATATACAATAATAACTGATTGATATTTATTTTAATTTTTAAATTAATTTATAGTTTATATGTCTAATTTATATTATAATATTTTATTACTTTAATTATATATATATATAATTTTAGATATGTTATATTTAGTCTGTTTTATTGTTTTTACGGTCGATTTAGTTATCATTTAGATATATTGGATTATATCTATTTCTCTGAATTCAACTATTATCTTTTATATTTTAAAATATTAGATTTTTGATTAATTGTCTTATTTGCATTTATGCTGGTTGTTATCTTAGAAATATAAGTATATTTAGTAAGATTATATATAACTTAAGATTTTTTTGTGCTTAGAAGGAAAAAAAAATAAAAACTAAAGTTTCTGATTCTAAATTACATACATAAGTAACTAATGAATTTTTAGAAGATTCTGATTTGCTTAAGTATTTGACTATGGTTATATTAAGTTTCACAAACATAAAAACAAAAAAAAATTAAAAATCAAAAGATTATTAAGAAAACAGATAATTTTAACTATTAAAATATAATACATCTACCTCGTTAAATTATATAGTGTTATGGTATTTTAAAATAATTGTAGTTATTTTCTGTTTTTGTGTTTGTGAAACTTAATATAACCATAATCAAAATACTTAAGTAAATCAGAATCCTTATTCTTAGAACAGATAATTTTAACTATTAAAATATAATATATCTACCTCGTTAAATTATATAGTGTTATGATATTTTAAAATAATTGTAGTTACTTGATCAAAAGATGTTTATCATTAAATTTATTTTTAGTTTTATTTTTAGTATCTCTTAAAATAGTCAGTAAAATGATTGTTTTTGAGAAATTATACTATATAAGTAAAATAGAATTTATATTTTTACTGTAATTGTAAGATATTGTAGTCTAATAAATATACTAAAAAATAATTTCAATAATACTAATTATAAAAAAAATGTCAGTTAAACATGTATCAGTGTATGTTAGTTGATTATTTTATGTAATCATCTAACAAAATAGATAGATATATACAAAAATAATTATTTTGAAAATATATATATTTTATTGTTTAAAATTATTTTTTTAAGGAAAAAATATTTCTTTTTCTAATAGCAATATTTTTTGTGTGAATTTTTTTTTATGAAATCTCATTATATACAGATATTCTTTTTTTTAATCTAAGAAGATATAGATATAAAGTATTTTATTACTTCAAAGGTATATTTTATGTTATTTAAATTAATTATTACTATTTTGTGAATTTTCCTTTTTTTATTAAACCATACTATATATACTTATATTTTCGTTTTTAAATAGTTTTGTAAATTTTATAAATGTTTCCTTTTTATTTTATATTGTTATTTGGAAATTTTTAAAAAGGAAATACTATTTAATTTTATTTTTAATTCATTAGGGATATCATAGTAATCAACCATCGTGAGAGTTAACGTGAGCGCGACACATAAGAAAGTGACTTCTCAAATAATATTATAGAGATATGTTTGTAACCGTGCTTACATATACTCATGAGACAAAGAAATATATCATACATGCATGGTTGTTACATCATGTGATCGTCGAGATTGTCACCATCATCAACATCTTCAATCTCCATTCTTAGAGCATCTCCAACGGAAATTTTTAAGGGGAATTTTTTTAAAAAAAATAATTAAATAATCAGTGAATTCCATTAAAAGTTAAGGATTCAATTCTTAAAATCTTTAAATAAAAATTATTTCTTAGCAAATCTTTGTACTATTTACAGATCTCCATAATATGTGGCAATCCCCAATTAGTTAGTATTTTTTTAATCTAAAAAAAAATAATAATTATTAAAAAATGTTTTTAAAAAAATAAACTCTAACGGGGTAACACCGTTATTTTCTGTATGTAAAATATAAATTGGAGAATGGAGGCCGACAAAACTAAAAGAAAGAAGAAAGAGGAAAGAGATTCCTAGGCATGCTTAAATGAGTACCTACCAATAAAAGGAGAAAAGTAGTAGGTCTTTGTTTCTTCCTTGATTCTTCTGTTTATTTTTATTTAACTTTTATCTATTTTCATATCTATATGCTAAATTGTATGTATACTTAGATTTCCACTACTATTAACTCTCATTATTTTCATAAGAATTTCACTAATAGCTTATTTGCTGCAATTTAAATTTGGCCTGCACTATTCCTTTTCCAATTACATCTAATCAAATCATCTGTAACTAAAGATATCTTAAGTTAGAGCTAATGATACTGATACGATAATCAAGTGCAAGTCTAAATATATATTTAACTGTTTAAGGATCTTTCAACTCCATTTAAGAATATGAACAGCGCTGCTATCTAATCAAATCAGCTGTAATTTGATGGGTGAAAAAATCAACAAAAATGGGCTTGTTAGGGTGTTCCAAGTGGTAAGGCGACTGAAACACTAAAGCATAACAATAAAAACACTGGAAAAATAGATGCATGCATGTTTGTGGCTAAGACTAAAGATTCATGGCTAAATTTAGCTTTGAGAATCTGGGTTTCCAGGTTAGATCGGATCGGGTTATTCGAGTTTTAGGGTTATTTGGATTGGAGTATATAGGACATGTTTAAGAACCAAACAATGTTCAGATCGGATCGGTTAACATCAAGTTTGGATAGAGCTTCTATTTTTATAAAACCCGAAACTAAATCGAATTAGAAATAGTTCGAATTTAAACTGAAAAAAAAATTCAAACCCCCGAGTTAAACCTGTAAAAACCATAAAAGTTAATTTCATTATTTGAAATATCTTTTATTTATATATTATATTTTTACATATAGTTATTTGAAAATAAAATTAACATATTTAGATATCCATTCGGTTCTAGGTTTGATTTCGATTCAATTTCAATATTTTGGGTTTAGAATAATAAGAACCATTTGGTTTTTGCAAATTTTAGTCTGGTTACAGTTTTTTTGTTTGGTTCTAGCTCGGTTTTGAATTTTGAATAATATGTCTAGGATAAGCTAAAATTCATTAAGCAACGGACAACCATGCATATATCAAGACCATGGCTACAAAACTCATGGTTAACACTCATTTGCCCATTGCCCATGATTTGCGAGTACTCATATATGTACAATTATTAGCTCATGAGACTAATCACCGCAAAAATTGATCAAAACTTGTAATATACTATTGTTGTGACATTTTAATTTTCGAAATGTGTGTGTCCGTTTTAGACGACCCAACACGTAGGCTAGTGTATTGCCAAAACGGTAAGCGGATTATATCTCTGTCCAGTCTTGAATCATGTAGTATTCCCTAAAGACAATTCATAAATCTTTGGATTTTCAGCTAGAGTTTACAAAATTCTTTAATCGTATCAATCTGAGTAAGTCCAGATACAGTATTATAATTGAACAACTGAAGGTGAATACAATAGAAGCAAAGATGGAAAATAATGCGTTCCAAAGAGGAAGCTATGATGAAAATATTGATACCAATGGTCGATACACATTTAGGCATGCCTATCATTTTTAAAGAACATTATCAGGCAAAAAGGCTAAAAACAATTATACAATTGTGTTCAATGAATGTACAACCCATTCTAAAAACAAGAAATCAAAGCGATCATCATTATCATAAATAACTATGCCACTAATGGAGGGCCACCACTTGCAATTTTACTCACTTGCTTTTATCTTTCCTTTTATTTGATTTATATATCTTTTCTTGACTTTTTGAACTTTGAGATATGATGGAGGGGATCATTGACTTTGCAATGATTATAATTTCAGGCCCAAAATCACTTCAAATGTTCTCTTTTAACACTTTTTCTTTATTCTCCTCTTTTAAATATGTTGTATAATCATTGCATTCTGTGCCAGTAAAACTGGTGATCTTAGCAAGATATCAAAGATCATTTTGTAAACATCTTTAAAAAAAACTAATTTGTTAACATCTTATGTAGTAGTTTTTCTTCTTACAGGTCAAGATTAAAAAAATAAGAACAGAACATAAACATGGAAGTCTAGATAACAATCACTATTATAGTTTATAGTTTTTTCTAGAATTTTCTTATATCGTATTGTTTTTTTTCTTTTGAAAATTTATATCTTATAGTTTACAGGTTGATTACATCCAATCTTTACCAACTAGCAGTGAGTTCATTCTGGAAAGGAAAAAAGTTGGCTAGACACCAGAACTTGTCATAGTGCAAGATAATCACCTAACCAAAATATTGAACATGGCCCTAACACAAGGCATACGACAAAATGAATAATGGATATTATACTATTCATAAAACAGAAAAATGTTATGTCTCAGTACTTAAAGTTGGAATTAATATTTAAAAGCGATAAAACAGGAGAGAAGTTGTCCATTATAGCAGCAAAACCGAAGAAGCAAAAAGTAAAAAAGAAAAGCTGGGAGGGAGACAAAATGGTGCAAAAGAATCTTTAACGGAAGTTTCTGTAGACAGGGCTGTACATGCAGCTCTCTGCCATCTTGACCAGGTCCTTGGGACGAGGCAGGTTCGATGCCAATCCTGCAACAAAAACAAAACAACATAAATCATATTTCTGCAAAAGTAAATATTTTTACATCATAATAATATATATAACATAGAGAATAATGAAAACTAACCAAGTTCATAAGTTTTGGCTGCCACACTGGCTGCAATGTTAGCAGAGATCTGTCTGATGTTTGTAAAAGGTGGGTAGATCAATCCCTTGGCGAAATCCTCTTCAGTCACTTGCGAGGCCAGAGCTTCCGCTGATACAACAAATTCGAAAACAAAGATTCAACAAATGGTCTCTAACTAGTAGTAACTATGTATAAACTTAATTGCAGCGGAATCTGGTGGATCCCTTATGGTCATTCCTGGCCAGTTTTAACTGTAACATAAGTTTCTTAAAACAGTTTTTATTGTACTTACAAGCTGCTAGAAGCATGTCATCACGGACACGAATGGCACCGGACATGATCAAACCAAGACCTAGACCTGGGAAAATGTAGCAGTTGTTGGCCTGCGGAAAAAAGGTGTTATCGACAGGAACATGAGTCGTGGATTGTAGATAAAAAATGTTACAATAAATAGCAAAACGAACCTGGCCAGGCAAGAATGTTTTGCCTTCATACTCAACAGGGTCAAACGGGCTTCCACTTCCAAAGATTGCACGACCCTATAAATCAACCACATCTTTTTTTTCAGGTTGCATCAAATGAAACAATAACTTGTGGTGGTATCAATAAGCTTTAAATCGTTACATTGGTCCATGTGTAAGCTTGTTCAGCGGTGCACTCGGCTTGAGAAGTTGGGTTTGAGAGAGCAAGAATCAAGGGTGTCTGTAACCTCACCACAGAAAGAAGAGCATCAGAAACAAGAAGCATAGATACCGAGAAAGCATATCAAAAGAAGGAAAGAAAACCTCGTTGAAGGTGGCCATGGCCTCAACTACTTCCTTTGTGAAAGTCTTCCCCACACCAGAGGTTCCAATGAGCACTGTTGGCTTGATTGCCTGATTTGAGAGAATGTTATGAAGACTTAGATTTCTAAATGTCATCTATTCATGAAGATATATTAACTTGAGTTGTTTAAAGTACATTAACAGCTCCCAGGAGCTCCTTGACAGGCTCGTGGTCATGCGCCCATGGCTTCTTGAAATGCTGAAGCGACTCCGCGCGTGAGCTAACAATCAGTCCCTGCAAGATTATTCAAAGGATGTTTCATTAGTGAACAAAAAAAGCAATAGCTAAGAATGATGTAATCTAACAATACCTTGGAGTCCACAAGCCAAATCTTCTTCCTGGACTCATCGATTGGTGTTCCAGTCTACAAAACAATGCAGTTACAGATTCTTGACAAGAAGAAGCAAAGGTATCAAATAAATAGCATGAAGGCTAAAGACTACTATTATTTAACCTCTTTGGAAATCTTAAGAGCAATTAGCTCAGCTATTCCAGTTCCAGCCTACAAAGATATAAAAAGCTTTAGCAGCAAAACAAAAAGCTTATTTGGTATATGTTTTGAGGTCTCACCTCTCCGGCACCCAAGAACAAGAAGGTATGGTCAGATAAGCTTTTACCAAGCACTTTCTGAGCCGCAATAAGCCCAGCCAGCACCACGGATGCAGTACCCTGAAATGTTAAACAGACAAAACAAGTTTGTACTAGTCACATTTCAGAAAATGCAATTCATATGGTGCTGAAGACAAGATCTCACTTGGATATCATCATTGAAAACGAGATGACTGGAGCAGTACTTGGAGAGAAGCTCAAACGCGTGGTGGTTTGCAAAATCTTCAAACTGAAACCAAGAATGTGTGTAATATTATTATATCAACACATGCAAGATTGAGAAAAACAAATTTTAGCAGAATCGATCATATGATTTACCTGCACCAACACCTTTTCTCCATAGTTCTGTTTAACAGCACACATGAACTCGTGCAGAAACTCAGCATATTCCTGAATAACAACAAAAGAAACTACAATGTAAAAGTCATCATTTAATAGAGAGAGTTAGGAAAGATAATAGTAAACCTCGCCAGTTGCCCTGTTCTGTCTCAGTCCAATGTAAAACTCATCATTCAGTAGCTTCTCGTTGTTTGTACCAACATCAATAGTGATTGGAAGGCACTGCATGTGAAAATATGTTTACATTAACATCAGAACTACAGAGAATCAAGCATATATGAAAATTTTCAGCAGCTTTTGTTTCAGTGCTTACAGCCGATGGACGGATCCCTCCCAAAGCTGTGTAAAGAGAAAGCTTACCAACTGGGATTCCCATTCCCTGTA